ATTACAAACAATAAAAATGTAAATTATGTCTTAAGTAAATTAAGCTTGTAGGAAAACATGCAAATTGAAAAAACAGCCAACTTTAAAAATGGAAATCTCTAAATAAAGTTATTCATAAAATCGGAAATTAAAAAAAAAAGAATTTATAAAATCTTACAAGTCTGAAGATTATCGAATAAAAAAAAAGAAATAATTATGAATTGGACGAATTAAAAAATAAATAAACGAAAAATTTGAACATCTAAAAAAGCGTAATATTAAAAAAGAGGTTATTTAAAAATACGATCTTTAAAAATTGGAAAGTACTAAATATTGAAACTTTAAAACTTTACCTCTTGAACTTAGCCAATACTAAATTTTGTAATCATTAAAACTGGCCGTTTCTAAAATCGGTAGTTCGTGAAATCAGCCGATTCTAAACTCGGTAATTATTAAAATTGGCCGTTTCTAAAATCGGTAATTCATTAAATCACCCGATTCTAAACTCGATGATTCACAATATTAGTTAATTTTAAGCCTGGACCCTATAATATTGATGTAATATCAAAGGTATTTATTTATTGTCTGAGATTTTACGTATTTTAAGCTATCACAATCGAAAAGTTCAGTTATTTTCGAAATAATTAAAAAAAAATTCTGTTATTCGTCGTGGATTCGTAAATCTTGTAATAAAAATAATATATACCTTTCATTGAGATAGACTTTTCAAAAATACGGAATGTCTAGAGATGGCCGTTAGGTCACCTTTAAAAAATTAAATTTTTATATTTTTAAAATAGAAAAAAAAATAGCAACGTTAAAAGTATATTATTTTAATTAAAAGATTTATGAATTCACGACGAATAACAGAATTTTTTTTTAATTATTTCGTAAATATAACTGAACTTTTCGATTGTGATAGCTTAAAATACGTAAAATCTCATTCAATAAATAAATAAATACCTTTGATATTACATCAATATTATAGGGTCCAGGCTTAAAATTAACTAATATTGTGAATCATCGAGTTTAGAATCGGGTGATTTAATGAATTACCGATTTTAGAAACGGCCAATTTTAATAATTACCGAGTTTAGAATCGGCTGATTTCACGAACTACCGATTTTAGAAACGGCCAGTTTTAATGATTACAAAATTTAGTATTGGCTAAGTTCAAGAGGTAAAGTTTTAAAGTTTCAATATTTAGTACTTTCCAATTTTTAAAGATCGTATTTTTAAATAACCTCTTTTTTAATATTACGCTTTTTTAGATGTTCAAATTTTTCGTTTATTTATTTTTTAATTCGTCCAATTTATAATTATTTCTTTTTTTTTATTCGGTAATCTTCAGACTTGTAAGATTTTATAAATTCTTTTTTTTTTTAATTTCCGATTTTACGAATAACTTTATTTAGAGATTTCCATTTTTAAAGTTGGCTGTTTTTTCAATTTGCATGTTTTCTTACAAGCTTAATTTACTTAAGACATAATTTACATTTTTATTGTTTGTATATTATCATTTTTGACGTTTAACTTATTTTATAAACAACTAAGTTTAAAATTTTCCAATTTTAGATTTTAGAAACCTCCAAATTTAGGGATTTCCATAAATCCCTGAACATAGAAACTGACTCGAATTAATGACCGCGATTGTATATATATATATGGGAAAGATTTCCCCACATATTATATTCATAGTTTTGATTTATTATTATAAACATTCAAGAGGCCAGTATTTATACAAAAATTCTATTAAATAATTAAGAAAGAAAAGAAACAGTGACATAAAAATTATTTATCTTTTAAGTAAAAGCTATCGAATCTTCATTTAATTAATTAAATTTTTATTTTAAATTAGTTTTGAGACCTATACTATTTTGTGGATTGAAGGATACTGTAAATAGTTTAAAATTACCGCGCTTATCCTTGTGTTTGACGATTTTTTTTTTATAGATTTTAGCGTAAATTGCATACATTTTTATCTTTATTTTTCTCCAGTCAATGCGATATTAAATTATTCCGGATTTTTTTTTAATTCATGGATTTTCAAAAACTAAATATTTTTATCTTAATTATTATTCTTGCTAGTTATAAGGCATGCGTTGTTGTCACGTTGTCAGTAACTTCATTGCGCATGTGGTGATCTGTTAGTCTTACTTATGTATAAACAGCTCCGTGTCGATGTGTGTTGCTGTAAACTGTAGTTTGTACAATAACAATAAATATTAAACTTTTTAATATGTCGCGAGTGCCTATTCTCGTTGTTTTAGGTTCAACGGGTACGGGAAAATCTCGGTTGGCTATTGAATTGGCTCAAAAATTTGCAGGGGAAATTATTTCTGCAGATAGTATGCAGGTAAGATCAAATGTTAACGTCAAATCGAAAACTCCATGTGATTTTCTTATAGGTTAAGTCTCGGAGTTAAGTGTTGTGCTACTATACTTACGTATCTACACATCTCCTTGTATTGATAACAAGTTATTAGTTAATATTACTCGTCTAGTTTACTTACATTTTAGAATTTTGTTTCATTTGATTTTTTCGATAATAATTAACTACACGATATCAAAATAATGGTGGATATCCTCAACAAATTTTTGATTTTGAATAAATAAATTCAATTGTTACAAAGAAAATTTTGCAACTTTATATGAAAATCAAAAAAAATTTTCTGACCGATTTTTTGAGTACAATAGTGGAATTCTTACGATTGCAAACATTTTGAGACACTCATCACGAGCCCGTTGTTTATAAATTTAAGGTTCTTTCGGCGTTTTTAAAGAGTGACAATTTTTTAAATAAATCAATATTATATTTAACATTTTATACAACAATAACCTTAAAAAGTTACCATTAAACGTGGATATTAAACATAGAATTGGGAAAGTAAATATTTTTTATTTTAGACATTTTGGCCACTCATATTCTCAGTCGAATTAGACAATTTTACAAAGGCAGCTCGAATGTATAATTACATTCGGTGCATTATACATGTAATTATCGTACATTCGGTGCATTATACATGTAATTATCGTACATTCGGTGCATTATTATTAATAATTGTGATTATAAATAATCGGTTTTATAAATTTTTTATAACTAAGTAGTGACAAAGAATGCAGGGAACTCTTTTTTATAATCATTGTTTCCATAAAATAAACAAAAATTCATTATTTCGACGTAGATTTCTGTAGGCTGTATAAAGTTGCGATTTTTCTTTTGAATTAATTTTTTTTTTGTAAAAATTCCATAAATAAATTAGTTCCCTGCTTTTATTATTCTATTTTTTATATGTGGTTTAAATTTTATTAAAATCTGTCCAAAATTTAGCTCAAAACAATGCACCAAAAATTATCTCATAAAAATGTTATTAAATCTTCTTTCATGGCTCCTTAATATGCAGCGGTTCTGGAGTTATGATTTTGTGAAATAAATTTTTTTTTAACTTTTTTATTAATTTTTCTGATGAAGAAAACTTTTTCATTCAAATCCACAGAAAATCGTATCTTGTGGAAGAAATTCTCAGCTTTTGAATGAAAATATCCATTTTATCATAAACACATCAAAAGATCCTTTAAAATCCAATTAAAGTGGAAAAATTGATTTTTCTCGATGTGCGACGTAAGGTACTTCTAATGTGACTGTTTTTTCTGAAAGATCAGAGTTTTTTTCACAAAATATATGGTTTTCACGATGTGCATATTTTTTGTTCAATCACAATTGAATCGTTTATTTGAGAAACCCCATAAGTTAAAAATACTAAATTTTTCAGAAGAAGCAAAAAACATTTTTCTCGGTTAAGTTTGCATTAACATCATGAACCAATGATGAATAATAATTATGTTAGTATCCCGAAAAAATATTCGAGCATGAAAAAATTTAATTATAACTTACTACTATTTATAATAATGATTTTAATTTGATTGACTTATGGGGTTTCTCACCAAAACGAATAAAATCATTGATGTATTAATTTTTCTCCGTGAATCATTTATTATATTTATAAAATAAAGTACAAAATATGTAATGGAACTACAATTAACGAAAATTATGATAAATTATCTATTTTTAAATTCAAATTAGTGAACTGAGAGTCAACAATAAAACAACATTTTAATTTATCACAATCTAACTTTATAAAACTAAAATTGCAAAAATTATTAAAATCAAAGTATTTAACAGTAGATATATTTTTATTTGGTTATCATTAATTTTAGAATTTAAATCAGTTAAATCAGAGTCAACAATAAAACAACATATTTTTAATTCTAATTCATCAAGCGAATATTGTAAAACTCATTAAAATTCAAGTATTTAACAGTAAATTTAGTTTCTAATTATCTAATAATCAATCATTTTAAAATTAAAGTCAGTGAAATCACATCAAACAATAAAACAATAATTTAATTTAATTTTTTTAACCCATACTGCGAAAATTATGAAAATTTAAGTATTTTGCACTGAACTGAATTTTTCTTCTCAAAAGAAGTTTTTTTGAGAAAAAAAAAAAAAACTTTTATTTTTGGAATTTTGAAATTGAACGTTTATTCGAAAAACCCCTTAAGTCACTGACTTATGGGGGTTCTCAACTAAACGAGATTTATATCGACCGATTGGTTAGGTCTTGAACACGGATTTAATATTTTTTGGTGCTGGTATAAGTGAAGGGAAATTCAGAGAACCGAAAAATGCAATAAACCCGATTTCGAAAAAAATATGACTTATGGAGTTTCTCAAATAAACGATTCAATCAAATCAAACGTAAAAACTTTATAATTAAAATACTTTTATTTTTGAACTTGTTTCTGATGTTGATACAGTTTTAATAGAAGCATATCCAATTTCATCATTTATCGGTAAAAAATTGTGCAATGTCTGTGTACCCTTTACCGTTTTTGATGAAGAATATTGTACGTCTAACACATTTTTTTTGTCTAAATAATCATCATTCGTCATGATAGTAAAATCTGAACAAAAACAGTTTCACTGTAAAAAATTGCGCCAAGTCCACGTTCATAAAACTCATCTCAATAACATTTGTACTTTACAAAAAAAATTAGATTCGTTTCAATAATTTTTATTCTCTACAAAAAGATGTGAAATACAAAAAAATACCAAGAAACCGTCATAATGTTGAAAAAATTGAAAAACAATTTGTTGAAAATTAAAAAATTATAAAAAAAAATTTTTTATCGTACTTGGCGCGCGTCATTGAGTACCCCAAATTTTTTCAGGATAAATAAACATCCTTTTCATGTTGAGTAATTTATAACTAAGTCAACCTTCACGTTGATACACGTCGATACGCATGCATACGTTGGGTCGGTTGCATTGTGAGAATTGTGTTTACTAAAAAATAAAAAATATGGCCGACTAAATTGGGAAAATGCAGTGTGA